AGCTATTTTATTATAAAAAAAAGAGCAAAATATATAGTGCTCTTATAAGTTGGGCCAAACTATGCCATGCATTTAGAAAGAAATTTGTATAGAGTGTGCACTTAATCAATCTGATTATACTAATGACTAATTACTAAGATTAATATATATCAAAATGTGTTTACTTAGAAATACAATATATTATAGCAGTAAATGTCTTTATACTAGTGTATAATTATTTTTCGCAAAACAAAACTGAATATGTTAAAAATGCGATCCTGATATTTTAGAATAGTCTTTAAACCAATTTATGCTATAAACTTAATTATAACTTTATGTATAATTATTAAATTTTCTTTTATTTATTTATTTATTTTAAAATTTCAATAATAACATTTATTTATTAAAATAAAAAAAATTTTTTTTTGAAATACTTAGTTTTGGAGATTAACTCTCCTACTTGTTTCAACCACCATGTAGAGGTGTATCTCATTGGTTGAAAAGGTTTCTCCCAACCAAATCACTCTCATATTCCCACTAGGAGTAAGTTGTTCTACTTGAATCAATAATGATTCAATAAGCTTTAGCTCATAATCTCTAGAGCTCAGATACTAATTATTCTATACAATACTATACAATATAATATTATACTGTATTTATTCACCCTCTCCTTCCTTTTACCAAAACCACTAACCTATAAGCTTTTTTACTCTTAAAAAAGATACAAATCCAGTCCCTTATACAGGACCAAAAATTTTAAGTAGTGGAAATGCAAAAACCCATGCCTAATTAAACAGTTTTCTGCCGATTAATAATCTACCAAAAATAATCTAAATCCACCAACAACAACCTAAACCCACCAAAAACAATAACAAAAATAATTTAAACCCACCAACAACAATCTAAACCCACCAAAAACAATAACAAAAATAATCTAAACCCACCAACAACAACCTAAACCCACCAAAAACAATAACAAAAATAATCTAAACCCACTAACAACCTAAACCCACCAAAAACAATAACAAAATAATCTAAACCCAACAACAACATAAACCCACCAAAAACGATAATTCAAACCCAATAACAACAACCTAAACCCACTAAAAACGATAACCTAAACACACCAAAAGCAGCCTAAACGCGCCAAAAACAACTTAACACCACCAAAAACAACTTAAACCCACCAAAAATGATCTAACCTATCAAAATAAACCCTTTACTAAAACGATCTAAACTCCTAACGACAAGGCAAAACAATAATAATCAATAATAAAGCAAACAGTAATAAAATAGAGCTATAACAAAACCATGTAATAAAAACAAAAGCTGTAAAGTATAATAAAAAACTAAGTTATAACTGAAATAAAAAACAGCATGGTTGACGATCCATTTGATTGGCTAATATGTTACACAAAATCTACATATACTTGAATAAGAAATGTGCTACCTTCGCTCATATACAAACTAGTTACCCTACATATTAAGTATATATGAAACTTTATGGTCACTTTAGTTATTTGTTCTTCTATATACAGGAAAATTTAATCAAGTATAATCAGATTCAATGAAGACTTTTATAATATGGGTATTTTCAAAAAAATCGCAGTTTAGCAGGTTTAGTGAAGTTCTACCTCTTATTTGATATACTTACTTAGAGCTTACACTAAAGAATTTTTTTTAGATCAGTTGTTTTGAAACATAAAGGCTGTCGGTTGAAAAATTTTACTAATGGATAAGTTTTTATTTTACCAATTGTTCATTTTGCTAATTTTATTTTGTAAGTCTAATTCCAAATCTCTATCAATTTCTAGTTGACTGTCATCCTCTTCATCCAGATCAGTCTCATCCGTATCATTCTGTTCGTCAATTAGTTCTCTTACCTCTGCATTTGTCTTTGCATTTAAACCTTTCAAAAATGAGTTAACATTCTGCTATATACCATCCTTAAAATAATTTAAGCAAGACCTGCACTTATTTTCCAATTTGTTGTAGCATTCTATGTGATACCCGTGCCCACATATTAAAATAATTCCCTCATTGGTAATGAGTTTTGTGCGGCAATAATCATAACTATCAGATAAAGCTATATCCAGATGGCATACTTGTTGTTTCCAATTGTTCTAAATTTGGAAGGTTATAAGTGGTCTGTAGATTTTTTTTTGTTCGTATTTTGAAAGATGAAATTTTGTTGCTAACTAAATTTGTCTCTTCATTTTTTTTATAAATTTCTCGAAATTGAGAAAGAAAAAAGAGACACGTCTTATTAGTCAAAAATTTTAGATCTGTGGAGTATACAGATATCGAGTCCTAGTTAAAAACATTTTACGAAAGGCTGGTAATCCAAAATAAGAGCTTGTCTTCGTATATTTTCAGCACTATCATTTGATGTTGTTGTTGCCCATATTCTACTGTGCATATTTTCTACCCAGTAATTGTTAAATTGAATTAAATTTTTTTCTAAAGCTTCTTTCATTGGATGTCCATTCTTTTCCCAATAAAATAGGTCTGATAAAAAAGCAAGTGGAGCTTTATTATAATTCTTTCGCTTCCAACGTAATGCAAAGGTCCAA